CTGAAACCTGCCTCTTGCAGGTGGTTAAAATGTCTCAGCTGCTGGCTGGGGAGCAGGGCAAATTGCTAAAGGGGAAAGCAGGCTTGGGGCCGCAGCAACCCCGTGTTTGTACAGGGGGCAGGCATCGTGTCAGGAAAGCAAAGCACGTTCGAATTTGTATCCAGAGTAAGAAGTCATAATAAGATAAAAACTTCCTTGTCAGAGATGCTATTATTGCATTATGTGGCCAGGCAAGGCCAGCCTTAATTTATTCCTGCCCAGTGACGTCCTTTCTATCACTAAGTCACAAAGAATGAGCTCGAAGGATATTTAAATCTTGCTTTTTGCTTTCTCACGGGTGATAAATATATATATTTTTAAGTATTATTTCTATGGGGAAAAAAAAAGTTGTAGAAAGCATCCAAAAGACTTGGGGGTGTTTGGGAGCAGCCCGGGAGCAATGGGACCGTGCTCCAGGGAAATCTTTCCCGGCTCTTCTGCCAAGCCCCGCTGGCATTGGTGCTTTAGAGAGGGACGGTCGTGGGAACAGCTTTGGGTTTGTCCCGGGTGCTGAGAAGAACCCACCTCCCGACCCCAAAGCGGCCGAGGGCTGACTCCCAGCAGAGGCTGGTCGCTGTCGAGCGGCTCGCCAAGGCGGTGGCCAAATCGGGGCCAGGCAGAAGCCCGTGAAGGAGGAGAGCGGCATCCCCAGCACCCTTGCGGAGCAAAATGTAGGTTCATCCCCATCCCTCCCAAATGCACTTGCTTGGAAAGTACAAAAACGAGCTTGTTGGCAAACTCCCCCCTTACAAGGCGAAGGATTTAGCCAGCTTTCCCTCCTCTTGCATTAGCGGGGTCGCTTAACCGGGGAAGATCTCCCACAAGCCGATGCGGTCCAGGATGATGGTTTGCTGCTCCTGCAGACGTGGCCTCCCCGGTTGCTGTTTTGGGGACGTGGCTGCAGGCTTTCACAGGGACCTCAAAACCTCACCCTGCTCTGCCGCGCGCCGACAGCAATTTAATAACAACAGCTTTCCCCGATGTATTTCTCCTTGTGCGCATCCCTGGTCGCTCGGTTATGCAAGTGTTTGTCGTGTTCCTGAGCAAGCAGCTTTTGGTGGTGTTTATTAAAAACCCAGCCTGGGTGGAGGCATAACCTGCGTGTGCTGTCGTTTGGAAGTGCTCGCTGTTGCACCGGCCAGGGGCTGAACTGTCTCCTCTGACTGTCTTAGTGGGGGAAAGAGATCAAATTGGGTGTTTCTGTGAAATGGGGAGGTTGATACTGCTGGGGAGGGAGATGCCTCGAGGTCAGGGAAAGCGGCAGGTGCTGGCTGTGCAGGAGCCTCGGCTCAAGGCCGGGGCGAGCAATAAAAGCTCCTTCAAAGCAGGGACGGTGCTGGGAAGGGGGATGCGAGGCTGGGGGTGAGCTCCAGCCGGGGCAGGGGGGCTGCCCGCAAGGAGATGCTGGTGGTCCCCTGAAGTTGTCCTCCTGCTCCCCGACTTCAGGCCAGCCGGGGACCCAACTGGGGACCCCTCTACGGGCTGTCCCCTTGCCCCTCGTCCCCATCGCATCGCTCCCAGCCCGGCAGCGGGGGTCCCTGCTACCGGTAACCC